AAAAAAAAAAATAGAGGTGTGGGTGGCACCTGTGGCTCAAAAGGTAGGGCGCTGGCCCCATATACTGAGGGTGGTGGGTTCAAACCCAGCCCTGGCCAAACTGCAACAAAAAAATAGCCCGGCCTATAGTCCCAGCTACTCGGGAGGCTGAGGCAAGAGAATCGCCTAAACCCAGGAGTTGGAGGTTGCTGTGAGCTGTGTGATGCCACGGCATTCTACCAAGGGCGATAAAGTGAGACTCTCTCTACCAAAAAAAAAAAAAAAAGAGAAGTGTAGCTGGGCTCATGCCTGTAATCCCAGCACTTTGGGAAGCTGAGGTAGGAGGACTGCTTGAGGTCACGAGTTTGAGATAAGCCTGGGCAATGGCGAGATCCCCCTTCGTTCATCCACACACAAAAAATTAGCTGGGTGTCGTGGGGCATGCTTGTATTTCCAGCTACTCAGGAGGCTGAGGTGGGAGGATCACTTGAGCTAGGAGTTTGAGGTTGCAGTGAGCTGTGATGATTCCAATGCTCTCCAGCCTGGGCAACAAAGTGCGAGTGTCTTAAAAAAAAAAAAAAGGAAAAAAAGAGGGAAAGTGAAGAATCTGGGAGAGAAAGATTTGGCCTAGAATCACACAAATCCGGGAGAAGGGGTTGACCTAGAATCATACAATCACACAATTCAGCAACAACTGGGTCCTCCCATTTCATGGGCTGCTTTAACAACTTTAAAGCTGTGCTTGAAATTACAAATGGGAGATAAAGCCCCTGGGCTTTATCCAGTACAGAGCCACCAGAGAATCATGGGGCCCCCAGCATAACAGGGGAGCTACCTACTGCTGCGGGTGTGAACTAGAAGCCAGAGGTCATTTTCCTGGAATGCCAAGTTGCTCTGCAGTGAACCCTGCATGCCCAGCCACCCCCTACCCATCCCACCCTTCAACCTCATTGCTATTTCACATGCTCTTCACTGTGCCCTAAGAGGCGAACTTAGCTGCTCCCCACACCAGTTTGGGAGTTGCATGGTCTGAGGCCCACTGGAGTGAAGACTGTTTTCCTAGCACTGTGCATGCCTGAGGGGTGCTGAGAGTGACCTCCCCCGCAAACACTCACTGGGCCACTGCACCTGTTCTTTCTATTCCAGATGAGCCCTTTCTCTCAGGGAACTTCAAGAAACCACTGGTTTTGGCTCTGCGCCCACAGAGGTGGTGAGGGTATTGGCCCTATGTACCGGGGCTGGTGGGCTTGAACCTGGCCAGGGGCTTGCTAAAACAACAATGACAATAATAGCAAAAAAAATAGCTGGGTGTTGTGCCAGGCACCTGTAGTCCCAGCTACTTCAGAGGCTGGGACAAGAGAATCGCTTAAGCCCAGGAGTTTGAGGTTGCTGTGAGCTGTGATGCCATAGCACTCTATGGAGGGCAACATAGTGAGTCTCTGTCTAAAACACATACACACACACACAAAATCACTGGTTTTTAGAAAAATGTATGGGAACCCTGTGGTTTTCCTATGCTCTGACCAGTCACCTGACCATTGGACCAAGGGCACTCCTCCAGACCGTAAGCATGAGGCATCACTGCTCTCCTTTTATGTGGGTAGAGAGGGAGGTACCAAGAGGTTAGGTGACTTGACTAAGGCCACACAGTTGATGAGGGGAGGAGCCATGTGGGTGTGCTCCTTCTTGGGCCCAGAGCCTAGCACGACAATGACCACAACTCTCCCATCTGGGGACTTTACACATCGGTCCTTACCTTATCCACATGTGTGTAACTGTGACTTAGGCACAGTGGAGCTACACAAAGTCTTACTGTAATAGTTGCTTAGGGCAACACTGCTAGTGAGCTACACCACTCTGCAGAAAGCTCATCTCCACTGGCACAGCCAGCCAGGTGAGCAGGAGCTGGGACTTGCAGAGGTGGCAGAATGGAGGGGAATAGGCTGGGAAGGGGAGACTTCCAGGTCTCCCTGGAAGGGAGGGAGGTGAGGTCATGCTGCATGCTAATACTTGAGTGGAGACTCAGACTCAGGGGTCCAGCCTCCCAGGGTGGGACCCTCAGTTCTATCTTCTTGTGTGTATAAAGACAGAAGCACCAAGAGTCACGACAGACCTGTTCTGTCACAAAGTCACCATGTGGTCTTAGATAAGTCACACTCCCCTATCCTTTTTTTTTTTTTTTTGAGACACAGTCTCAGTTCATTGCCCTCAGTAGAGTGCCATGGCATCCCATCACAGCTCACAGCAACCTCTAGCTCTTGAGCTTAGGTGATTCTCTCGCCTCAGCCTCCCGAGTAGTTGGGACTACAGGTGCCCGCCACAATACCCGGCTATTTTTTTTGTTGCAGTTTGGCTGGGACTGGGTTTGAACCTGCTACCCTCAGTATATGGGGCTGGTACCCTCCTCACTGAGCCATAGGCACTGCCCACATTCCCTATCCTAAGCCTCAGTTTCCCCACTTGCAAAATGAGGACGGGCCAGAAGAATGAGCCCTGGGCCCCATGTGAATGGGGCCTGGCCCACCTCAAGTCATTACATAGCATTGCCCGAGCACCCCACGGCCAGCCTCTTCTCTGAAAAATGAAGGCAACATCTACTTGGATTCTCCACTAGGCCATTGGAAACATCAAGTGAGGTGAGAGTGAACCTGCAGCAGGAGACTATTAAGGACCACTTTCCCAGTATGAGCAATGCCCAGCATGAGCTGATTCCTGGAAACCTGAATCTCAGCCCTGTGCATTTTCTAAGACCGTGTGTTTTCATCCCCAAGTGTGACTCCAGCAGACTCAAGGCCATTCATGGACAGGTGGAAGGACTTCACTCACCTCCCAGACAGAGTACAGCTATACCAGCAGGTGGGAGCAAAGTAAATTTATTTAGTACAACAGGCAAAGCAGTCAAGAAGAGACCCACATACCTCAACCAAGGGCTTTCCCTGAGATGTGTCTTTGCTTTCCAAGCCTGCACATGGT